AGATTCTTCGCATGTATTTCTGGCGCGCGTCCCAATTCCGGGCCTGAGGCTCCGGCGCCGCAAAATCGGTAGGCGAGCACTATCCGTCGACTTAGCCGGAGCCGACTAGCTTTCGGCAATTTGATCCAGCCTAGAATCGATGGATTTCTAGAAGCCGGTATAATTCAGCCCGAAGTCGCCCAGTGAGGAGTGAAAGATGTGTTGAGAGGGCTCGCCCGACCTGCAGCGGGGAAATCGCAATCCATCCCTCCTCTTCCGTTATCTTCGTCGCCAGGATGGTGCGCCTTGGCAGATGCTTGACCACGCTGGTCTTGGCTCTCGGGGCTTCAGCCTCACCTGCGATATGGGGGCGCCAGTATTCGAATGATCCGGATGCAAGGCCGACCACCCCGGCCGAGTGCTTGGAGATATCCTTGACCAACCCGAACTTCATCATCATGGGCCCCGAGCTAACCACTGTCAATGGCTCCAGCGGGGGGACTCAGGGGGATATAGGCTTCCTCGCCTTCAACACGGCCACACATGTGGTGGCGTTGTGTAGGGCAAAAAACATCGAGCTCGAACCCACCACCGATGATCAGTGGCATAATTGCAACGTGACAGGCCTGCAGTTTCGATTCCATCTGACCAGCTTTCAGATGCATCTCAAGGCCAGTTGGACTTGCGATAACTCCTCTGGGTATGCCGCCTCATTCTCGTTGTGGTACCGTCGGACTAACCGAGTATGACAGACTCGTCTTCAACTCGACCGGAATGTGGGAAGAGCCGCTGATCCAAGGGTGTCTGGACGAGCCAGAAGCGGCCCGTGGGCAGGAGATTCTGTGCATCATGGGCAACTCCCAGGTCCCAGGCGCATTGTCGTCACCCGTCGCCATCACACCTCAGCTCCCCATCTTGCCATTTGAGCCGGACTACATCCCTGAGCGGTGCCCCGATCGTTCAGCCGATCCGCAGTGGGTGGTTGACAAGTTTCTGTACCAGCATCACGAAGACAAATCATACGATGTGTTTGTCGATCTGACGAATGCGGCGGTTGGTGAATCCGTGTCGTGCCATGCGGCGTTCGACGGGAAAGCGGAAGTGGGCTCTAAAGGCGTGACCCGTTGGTCAAAATGCACGCCAGCTGCCGCCGGAACGCAGGTGCTGTCGACGGAAATATCTTTAGAGGCGGAGTACGGCATCTTGGGGGTTCGACAGTCGTGGACATGTCCGGACTTCATCGAGGGTATCGACGAGTAAGTGGCCTGCTCGCGCTCCACGTTAGTAGCTGACGGTCATCAGGCCCCGGTACACAGGAGAAGGCTACCTGTCTGCTCGCCTCGTTTGTCCCGACCAAGCGGGCGCATCCGCCTACAACTGTAGTCTCTCGGCCCCCGCCGACGGCGACAAGATTCGGTTCTCTGGGTACTGGCCCGAAGCGCCGCTGATGCCGCACACGACTTATAGCCGCAGTTGTACCGTCGAATCGTTCGCCAACACGACCAACCTCACGCTGCACGAGTACCAGACCGATACTGTTGTCGACGCCGCCGGGAAAGTATCCTTGGTCGGGACCTTCGCCGTGGCGAACCCGGGCCCAGGAGACGTATACCGATTGAACCGCATCCCGGTGGTCGACGATGGGGAGTGGCATGGGTGCGAAGCCGCTGCCGGGGAGGCTTTGCCGTGGCAATTGGCGCGTTGTCGATATGCGCTGGACAGGTCCCTTCGCCAGCTGAGCTTTCGATTTTCGTGGTATTGCGACGACAGGGACCCTCTCCATCCGTGAGTTCCTGGCTTCCCGGGGCCTTGTGTCAAATGGCGAACATCGTAACTGACGTGGTTTTTAGCGTATACTTCACCGCAGCGGCGAGCAAAGAGCTTCCTGCGGAGGAGTGTGTCGTGACGGCGAGCGGTGGGAAGAGCTGCCGCTTGCCAGCGGGAACTGGAGCGGTTCAGATGCCAGTGGCCACTCTCACCTGGGCGGGAACTGGTTCCCCACTGGATCGAGGCCCAACGCTGCCGTGGTTGTAATCGCAAAGACTGGGTGGCTGAGAAGGGGGAGCAGGTTTGATCAAAAGTATCGGCATCAATGATCGCATTTCGGGGTTTGATGTTTGGGATAATGCCCGTAGGGCTTCTTGCGCCAATGCAAAGCGCTGCTTCCAGACAATGGGCCCTGACAGCCAATGCTCGCCAATCGCTTTGTTTCAGCGCAGAAAGGTGGCAGGAGCGATTCAACCACCTCTTTCCAGGCTCCTGGAAATAAATGCCAAGACCCCATCCGTCTCCCATCGCTCCGTAGTCCCAGTGAAAATTGCGATTGCAAAGCTGACAGGACTGTCTGGTCGACAAAATCGTGCTTCTTGCCCAAAACAAAACCTCGACGACTCGTACCCACGCAAAGACCATGATGTCCCCCTTCGAGATCTGGGCGCCAGCAGTCGCTCAAGAAGGATCAATACTGCTTTCCGCTACTGCAAGCTTACGGTGATCTCAGTGCGCAGTCGGTCAGTTTGCCTTCCGAGCCCTGCAGAGCCCTCTTGGCGGCGCATACCGTCTGGATCCGACGCACAAAGTACTAATAGCGGTGTGCTCTCCAGAATTCCTGGCTCCATGATGTCCGACAATCCATGTTTGCGGACCGACGACCGGCGCCATGTCTACAGGCGATCCGAATTGCATGCTCTGCGTCGCGCAGGCCAACGAGCGATGGGCAGATCTCCCCGATATCAAGGCCCACGCCGAGGACGGATGTCCGTACTGCGCAGCAATGCTGCAGGGACTGCTCCATCTGATCCCCGATATCGAGACGCGCTTTGGGTATGATGCAAGCTTCCGCTTCCGCGGTCGGCGGGACATGAGCGTCTATGCGGATCCCAATGGCTCCCTCGGGTACCCCAACAACTCCAAGGCAATCAACCTGCATTACCGATGGTATACGGCCGACCAAGCAGCCAACCAACCGTATCAGCCATCAGGAGACACCGCGTCGGAGGATAGCTTCGCACAAGCCCAAGACTGGATCCGCGCGTGCCTCGAGAAACACGCGCTCTGTGGCAACGACGAGCCCTTTCCGCTTCCCACGCGAGTGCTTGACCTTGGGGACACTGAAGACGAGCCGGATAAGGTCAAACTCCTCGAGTCGACTGGGAGAAGCGAGCGATACATTGCTTTGTCGCACAGCTGGGGCGGAGAAAGACCGTTGATCACAACCACGGAGAACATCGAGGAGCACAAGACCGGAATTTCGTTTGACAGTTTGCCGCTCACATTCCAGGATGCAGCCCGTATTGCGCGCCGCCTGGGCATACGGTATATTTGGATCGACTCTTTGTGCATCATCCAGGACTCTCCGGCAGATTGGCAACTGGAGGCCAGCCGCATGTCGAGCGTCTATCGCAACTCCTGGCTCACCGTTTCCGCGATAGCCTCGACTTCCCCCAGCAGCGGATGCTTCCGTCAAGGCACGGCCACCGTAGCTCGAGCGCCGGATGACGACGATGACCCGCTCGCTGTTCTTTTTCCCGAAGCTAGCAAGCTCCGCAAGGACTTGCGCCTGGCGCTCCGTCTCGCCACGGCCCACCCCGACTTTGGTCCCTTTTACAACCCGGAAAAAGACGCACTGTTTCCTCTTCTAGGCCGAGCATGGGCATACCAGGAGCGCCTGCTCGCCCCGCGAGTGTTGCACTTTGGTCCGTATGAGCTCTTCTGGGAATGCATGCAGGACCTCGATTGCGAGTGTGGGGAAATGAAGTGGAAGGCGACGAAGCACATGGGGAGCTATGCCAACCGCAATACCGCCAACGAACTGCCGCCCAAGATATCGCACTATGCCGCCTTGCATATCGGCACCGGGAAGAGCAGCAGCATTGCAGGCGAGAAACGGAAGCAGAAACTGCTTTCGCGCTGGAGCGAGATGGTTGACGAGTACAGCAAGCGGTTGTTGACCTATTCAACCGACAGGTTGCCCGCTTTTTCTGGTGTGGCAGCCGAGATGGTGAATGCCTTGGGCATGAAGTATTGCGCCGGCCTGTGGGAGGAAACGTTACCCATTGGCCTGCTCTGGGAAAGAGAATCTTCCGCGAGGTGCTTGAAGGTGGGTGATGTCCGACCAGCGCCGTCCTGGTCCTGGGCCTCGGTGGACGCTCCAGTACGCTTCCTCCTCGATCTGACCGGGCCTTACCCGGCATACGCGATACCTGTCGTCCACGCTGAAGTCGAGGAGGTCCATTGCGTACCTTTTGGCACCGATGAGCGAGGTCAACTTGTGCATAGGGAGTCGTACATCATCCTTTTGGTGGAGTTGCTGAGAGCCTCGTTGTACTTCGAGCCCGATCCGCATGCGAGACCGTACGTGCCGTGGAAGTCAATCAAGGACAGTATCTCCGACGGTACCAAGGGGCCGCAGAAGCAGCGACAACTTAAAGGGGTCTTCTCCGTCAAGGTAGGAAAGAAGGATCCTATCACATGTGTCGTGGATGTCGCCCCTTGTGATGAAGCTGGAAACTGGGTGTGGGACGGGAAGGACATTCACTGCGCCAGGATTCTGGACCGGGATGAGTGTTATTACTGGCTGGTTCTGAGGAAGGTCGAAGGCGAGGCGACATACGAGAGAGTCGGCGTCGTTCAGCATCCGCATGCCAACTGGGAGACGAGGGGGAAGAAGCAGAGGATCAAGCTTATATAGAAGGCGCACGGGGGCTCTCCAGTTCGTAGAGCACAGTTTAGCCAACCCATTCGGTCATCCCCACTACATCCCTTGACGCAGCCTCTCCCGGGCGGCACCCACATCGTAGAATTACTGAAGAGCATATCCATGAAGAAGTAAAAGATCAAAACTATCTAAAAAGGCATATGAGAGATTCTCCGGCCCGTAGAACACAACTTAGCCAACCCAGTGGGCCAAGAAACCACATTCACCTTCCCAGCATTGCCGCCTCATCCACTGTGTGTTCCTGGGATTGGAAGGCCAACAGAATGATAATCTGTGGTGCATGTGACAGGCAAAAATAGGGTTTTGGGCGGGCTGGGATTTGAACCCAGGACTCTCGCTAAACGCTGGAAAGCAACGCTGGAAAGCACCGCTGAAAAACGCTTAGCGAACACGCTGACCACTACGCTACCGGCCCTGTAACTTTTGTTAACTACCTGGAGTTAGTTTTCTAGTTAAATATGGGCTGTCGTTTGCTCGGTTCGTGGGAATTGAATGAGGAGGTGGCCGAGGTTTGAGTTGGAAGAGTGGAGTCATTCAGGGGTGTCAACAGTGGGTTCCTCTGGGTCGGTCCAGAGCTTGATTCCTAGCTGCGAGCAGCTCGCGTGTTGATCTTTTTGCAAAGGAATGAACCATTTCGGGTGATTTATGACTATCACTCATAGGGGTCGTCAGGGGGACTGTTTTGGGATCGACATTTGACGCAATATCGTGATGCCTCTCAGACACTGCCGTTTGGTCTGGCCCTCGTTCCTTCCTCGCACTGCACGTTCTCCTTTGAACCCCTGCAACCAGCCGATTCGTACCAGTGGATCGTGCACTGCCCCTGTTGGTTCTTCAAGGTCCCTGTCCCCAATCGTCTACTAGGTACTCAACTAGGCATTACATTGACGCGGGCGCTTTCGACGGTCGAGTGGCTTCAGCCCGGCCCACCTGCCAACCTTGGGCACCTATTGACCATCATCCAACTTCCAACAATTCGCCGCAACAAGGCTTGTTCGCTTCCACAGCGGGTTTCCGTTGCAGTGCCCCTCGATACAGGCGAGCTTCTCACTGTTGGCGGTAGAAGGGACGCGGAGAGCGCGCTGTCAGCTGGGCTTCAGGGCTTCTCTTCCGCCAACACGCTTACGGATGGGAAGCTTACACTGAATTCCAGGTTGTTCATGGGGTAGGTACTATATGAATTTGTGTTGTTTGGGCGACCTATTCATATAGACGCGTGCCTTTCGTTATGCTCGTTTGGCACCCTTCAAGCTGCCGCCTCTTCGAAATGACTGCCTGTTTTGCCCGACAGGTGTGTTTTCGGCCTGCCTCGAGGTAGACATCGAACGTTATCCGTAATGCCCCACCCCACCCAAAATTGGGGTGTGTGTGTCCGCCTTGAGATGCGTGTGACAAACGTGATGTGTGTGGTAACTATTGTACAGCATCTTCCATGGGCTTGGAAGCTCGACTCGGTTGTATGGTATCGCCCTTCCCCAGGTCAAGAGCGCCGTGACCGTACCCGATCCCGCCATGAACAAAAGCGTAGAGTCCATCGCATCGTCGAGTGTCTGTTTGCGGTCCGACGCCGTAGGCGTGTCAAGGAAAAAGGTGTTTCTCAGCCCTCAGGCTGCGTTCACGGGTCGGGAAAGGTTTCCTCCCGCGGATGACGGCACGGGGGGCAGGGATGGGACTAATCACCTGTAACACAGTACTATATTGCTACAGGATGAAAACATCTACGGGCTCGCGAATGAAAGCTGGGAACAATTAATCCAAAGCTCGACAACACCAAACGTGGCCATCGCCGCTCCCATCACCGCCGTTGCCGTCGTCATGACTACATGGTGTTTTGGTTGCCACTGCGTCAAATGCTAACACTTCTTTCTTCCCCATCCCAATTTTTTTTGTACACGGAGTCACTGGCGTTGGCACCAAAAGTAGAGCAGCGAACCACCTTCCTTTTCAGCAGTTTCCCTCATGATTTCGCCTTGATGACCCTTTTTACCTCTGCTACACTGACGTCCATCGTGAAGGATCTGCATCCCTACCGGAAACTCCAGCACATCCGCCCTGCCGGCACCCACGACTCCTGAATTCGGTATACAGTTTCATTGCATTCGATCGTCGGAATGGATGCAGATCTGACGGCATTTGTCTGCGTGCTGTTTGCAGAGATTCTGTGGTGCCCGGATGCCTGCCGGAAGGCCGTCTTCCTTTTGCGGGCAGATTGCCGCATGCATGACGTCTATGCAGGTTGCCTCGCAGTACCCTTCCACGGTGAAGTGTAACCTATTACGGCCTTATTTCCTGAAACACGGCATCTGAGCCACAGCAGTTTAATCGACCGCCTGAACACTGCATAGACAAATTTCCGGGTCAAGAATGCAAACTTCTTGGTTAGCTCCGGGGTATCGTGCCCGGCCTTGGACGGTGATCTGCCTTCGAACGTGGCGGGACGGGCTTGGATGTGGACTTAATCTCTTCAGGTGTCCGCCTCCGACGCAATACTTTCTATGGCGAGGACATGCTCGAATCCCTACTGACCATCCCAACACCCACTTCAGGTCCAAACCTGCCAGCAGCCATGTTCCACCTTTGCATCCCCTACCTCCTTCCCTTCCTGTCCCATTTCGCCGCAGGAAATTCAGCAGATCTGACATCCAGTCAAAATGGATGCATCCAGAGATCTCTCTCGCCGGACTTTGCCTGGAGGATCACCATGACCTACGGCGCGTACATCGAATACGGCGCCCCCCCACACATCATGCCATCCTGGGCGCATCTGACGTTCGATCTAGACAACCCCGCAACCAACGAAACCGAACACTGCTACGGTCTGAGCGGCGACCCCTATCTTTGGTTCAGGACCGGGAAAGAGTGGATCGATTGCACCTCCACAGAAACAGTAGAAGGATGGATGTTCCAGCAGGACACCTGGTTCCGCCTTCATTCCCGGTGGCTGGACAGTCCGACCCGAATGGATATCGAATCTCGATGGATGTGTTGGGAGAATGCCAATACAACGTGAGAACGTCCCAGCGTCCTTTTGTGCTCGTCTAACATATGTCTGTTTCGGCGGTTACAGAACTTTATTCTCGGGTCTCGCAACGTTTGTTCCACCACTTGACTGCCGTATTGAGGCCTGGGAAAATCCGCATTGGGAGCTGTGGCAAACATATTCAACCAAAAAAGCTCTGTGCAACACCGTCACATTGGATGTCAAGCCGTACGAGGTGAAGGTTGTGTTGTAGCGCTGGACGATCCACAAGGAGGAAGCGGTGCTGGGATCTGCCACATGCGTTGATTACTTCCGGCAAGGACACAGCCTTGAAGAACTCGATGCCTGTCACGAATGCAAGACAAGCGTTGGCGGTGATAGCAGGGTGCACACAGGAAAATTAAGTGATGAACTTAATAGTGTGTGCCCCCCGCATCCCCTGAGAGCATTTTCCAGCCAAATGCAACGTAATCTCCCCCTGAAAGACTAGCATCAAGATCACCACACCCAACCACACCCAGAACAACAAGAACCTAAACACCACCAAGTTGCCACCCCAAGTCTCAAACAAGAGCCGAATCAACAAGGCTGCCACGTCCGGCCACGTCCGGCCACGTGCGACTAGCACCATTGGAGCTCTCCCTCTCGACCGCCTCGACACGGATTGGCTTGTCCTCCGATTCGTCTACCCCAGGCGGTTGTCGGACCTTTTTGGATCGATCGCGATGGCAGTTGCCAGCTTTCACATGGTCGGTCTCCACCGTCGGGGCCTCGAGGTCGATGAACCTCTGCGCAGAGTGCAAGACCGGTCAGCAAACGAGAGGAAGGTTTGAAGTGAATGGCAAGAAGGGCCAAGGCAAAGAAGAGGAGAGGAGAGCTGTAACAAATGAGGGGGAGTGCCGAAGAGAAAGGTGATCGACTGTGGTGAACCAAGAGGTAGGCTGAAGAAAAGGAGGGAGGGCTCAAGACTCACCTGTGAACTCAGGACGGGGGTGACAGTGACCGTGGAGCTTCGTAGCGCTGGGGCGCGTTCGGCAGAGTCGGTAGAGTTGGAGGTAGATCTCTTTATGTCAAAGGTGGGAGGGAGGCGTGGTCTAGCTGGTACTGGCATGGCCGCGATGTGGTGGGTCGGTGTTGATTCAGCGTTTGGGGCCGTGGGCGATGGCAATTGGTGTGTTTGGTCGAATTCTTGTTGATCTGGGTCGGGTTGGGCTGGTGAAACAGATTGACGCTGGTCAGGGGGCAGACTGCTGTTGCTCGCATTTGGGCGGACGTTTGTGTGGGCCCAGGGGCTTGGCTAGATAATGATACTTTGCTCATGCTCTGATGCAGAGTATTGATGTTGAAGAAGATGAGAGGAGAAGATTTCCGACTTCCGTTTCGCGGCAGCAGATAATTGCCCAGGCCCCGCGGTTCTGCTCTTTCCTTCAGGAAGTCTGATGTACGTCATCGGCTCCCGTCGTCCTCCTTCCTCTTTTGCTCACATGCGACCTTTTCACATATCGTGCCACAATGACGTTTGCCCATCACATCTTGAACAGAAGGTACTTTTCTTGACCATCAGAGACCGCACACCAGACCGATGCCTTATCGATACGCGAGATAGCCCCCTATTGCAATTCCCACAGTCGCTCCCACATCCAAACACCAATTCTGGTTCTCGATTAAGACGGTGTACTCTGGCCCAAAAGTGTAGTGAATGACGACTGAACAAAAGTTGACTGTTGCCGAAAAGGCCAAGAGTCCGAATATGGTCGCGTCGCAAGTCCTCGGTTGCACGCCCCTGATGTAGTCGGTGAAGGGGGAGAATCCTGGTTCCTGCTTTTGGGAAATGTTGAGCAGCATAGCTAGCGCCATGGCGGTCCAACTAAGCAAAATGACGCGTCTAGTTTCTGGCATGTTGTTGGAAGTGGGTTGAAGAAGGGAAGTGAATCGCAGGTGCCCCGCTTGATAGAGTTGGCTGTGCCGTTGGTGTATTTATCCGGGTCTGGTAGACAATCACACGACCCGACCGGTTGGTTTCGGCAAGACATCATTTGTTTTTAGCGAACACTGCGCAAACAGGATGCACGTGGGGGCTCTGTTCGGTTGGCACCCGGTGCTGAAGAAGACGTCTTGCACCAGACAGAAAAAGGGGTCAGGGGCAAACTGAAAGCCATCATTTTGCACGACCCTACACCCTTCGGAGGTGCCCACGCACTCTTCCACTGAACTCAGACTGTGTGTTGAGTTTCGCTTTCGGCTGGATAGGTAGGTAGAGGATTTCGATGTGCCGTTCTATTTGCCATCGGCCGATGAGTGATCCTTGGGTGCTCAACTCAAAGTTTATTGTTGAGATGGCTACCTGCATTTCTCACCACCTCTCCCTCTTGACTCTTCTCACCACCCCTCCCTCTTGACTCTTCTCCTCTTCATCACCTTCCAGCCAGCCACTA